GTCCAGAAAAGCGCTATATAAGTGTATGATTTTTTTTTGTGAGTGCGTTTTAGAATAGGGAAATAGACTCCCATTTATTATGTGGCATCCTTGTTTGCAGAGAGAGATTTAACTGTAGGTTGTATTTTGCATTTATTATGAAGGCAGCTTATCTCTTATTGTGGACTCTGTGGGCATAATTCAAGAGGTCAATACTTAGAAGCAGTCTTGGGTTTTCTGCGTGATTAGGGTGTTATGCCTCTGAAACGCATGGTCTGTAAATACCGTAGTGTTTATCTTGTCATTATTAATGAACATGTGTTTAACCAAGTGTGCCTGGATTATTACTGTTTTCACCAAAGCTGTGTTAGAGAATAAAGAATGCACGTGCCTTTAATCATATCTAGTGCTCGGGTATATTCTGGGGAAATAACTTACAAGTTGGGGGTTATGAATATTTATTTTACTTAATGACTAAACCACTTGGTCAATTCCTGATCTTCACCATTTGCATAACCCCCCATTTGTAAGAACATGTTGAATTCTCTGGGAAAGTATACACAGTACAGGCCTGGTTAGGGTCTTGAATTCAAGGGAACCCCTTGGCCATCCTGTCTGAACCTTCAGATTGTTTTATATGTCTTACTCACTACACACATTAGAAAGAAATATCCAGAACACAAACAGGAAAAAACAATAGATGTATATGAGAATTTCTCCGGTTGTGGCACACTAAATGTAAATTTCTCTTTATGCAGTGGATAAAAAGTTGAGAGTGACCAAACATATCCAAAAAATCGCATTTTATGGAATGCTTTTCTCAGCCATCCAAAAATATAAAATACGTAATGAACAATTCAAAGAACATATTATTTACTATTTTTACTCATTTATTTCACAACTGTCAGTCCTAGAGAGGTTTATTATAATAAGGTTAAGCAAAAGATTCAGGAATGGAGGAGATTGAAAATAATAATAATAATAATTGCTTACACTTATATAGCACTTTTCTGGACACTGCACTCAAAGTGCTTTAAAGGTAATGGGGACTCCCCTCCACCACCACCAATGTGCAGCATCCACCTGGATGATGCGACGGCAGCCATAGTGTGCCAGAACGCTTACCAAACACCAGCTATCAGTGGGGATGAAAACAGAGTAATGAAGCCAATTTGTAGATGAATTGAGATGAAATATCAAACCAGACTTAATCAGAAATTAAAAGATTAGCACAGCTCTCATAGAACTGACTATATCATACAATATCTATCTCTCTCTGAACTTTAATGTCTAATATGTTTTTTTATAAATGGCTTGGGTATCAGAATATGGTTTCAGGATATCCCTAGAGACATGATGAAAGCACTAAACCAATAGCATTGTTTATGTTTATAATGCCTCTTGGAATATACAACATGTCATTATATTGGATGGAAAGGTGGAAAATGGTCCATGATTCTGCATTAAAATCCCAGACTTGCCATAAGAAATAATTATATTTAACTATTGGGAGATGTAGCTTATTTTTTATCAGAATAAACTTTATTATTCAAACAATGATTACACTAACATCAAATAAACAAAACTTTCTAAAAGAGAACTTTCCGAATGAGGTGATTGTCCATTATCAATCAGTGCAAGTGGATGATGGGGCCAGATTTGAGCAATGAAAGCTTCAAATGAGAAAAAATCCCAATTTGAATTAGACTGCAGTTAATATGTAGGAACTACCACCCTCAACCATTTTCTCTCAGTTTACTCAGAAAATTATAGTATGAGGGGAAGTGTTAAAACTTGGTCATTCTCATCATTCTTTAACCAAGATTCAGTTTAAAATAAGTAATAATTAATCAACAATAAAGGTTTTGTTACAGAGAAACCTGGGGTGAAGTAAGAGTAACAGAACAGTGACAGTGGACAATGATCTACAGTTAATAGCAATCAGATTACTCAGAATTGCACCAGTGCATGTTGTTCTTGTGTTTTCTAAGAACTGACACAACAGGAACTCTGTTTGAGCAAAAGGGAAAGTGAGAGTGAGGGAACTTGTTGAGAAACTGGCCAAATACACAGTATTGCACTTTTCTTCAAATTTCTTAGACTGTCTTTTTGTGCCAAACTGACTGGGGTGCAGACCATCTCTTGCAAAAGATTTCTGCCTTTCCCACAAAGTATCCCAGTTTTTCACAAAGTGCTATAAAGAAAAGCCTGCTAAATGTTTCACTTCCACGATTAAAAACTGGAATAGGATCAGACAACATAAAATTCTTTCCGAACTGCTTCGGTCTGACACACAAATAAAGCTTCGCTGTTTCCAGTTTCTGCAATATAGTGTCTTGTGTGCTGCAATGAATAATAACTGTTGATACGTTACGTTCTGTGAGCACAATGTACCTCAAAATCTTTAACTCTGGTGCCAGGATAATGTTCCTCCGAACATGTTTTCATGTGTGATACAGTGGCCAACA